TGTTATTTTCAATGTAAATAGTATTTCTTGGAATTGCTGAAACAATATTTTTGTTGCATATTTTTTCTGACACTAAATTTCAGAATTATGCTCCTCATCCCAAATATAATGAAAATCATGAAAATTTGTGTCCCCGTCCACAGAAAAGTACTCGTCTTGTGTTGATGTCAAAATTCAAAAGCCAATATTACTAGCACTTTAAGACACGACAAGTTGTGTTTCAGTTACATTTTTAAGCTGCTGTTTGAGAAAGGATAGAAAATAACTTCTCAGAATTCAAAGGAGAAATTTCATTGATAGCCAAATTTCTCTTCAATGGTAAGCAAAGAAACATAAAGAACACTTAAAATTCAGAGTTTATCACATAATGCAAGAACAATAGCTCTTATGGATTTCACTTCCTTATTAAGAACATACATTTCATTTATCATAATCATGCTTATACGTAATCCAAGAGATAATCTAATACAATCTATATCTTATAAAATACTTAAAGCTTTATGAAGCATTTTTGTATGTTTTTTTTAAGCATTTCTGTAATTTAGGTTAGCGTAGTCATGCAACATATATACATAGCTGCCATATAGCAATTTGAATAGTCTAAAATTCTTTAAAAAATTTTACCGTTTCGCAAATCTTTTCATCATTTCATATTTATCCTTATGATGAAAACAAAAACGAATTGATTCATCACAACCAACGATAAAATTTCTAATTGATATTGATGAATGTCTGGAAATGTATTATAAATTTGTATTGATACGCCAGAGAAAATAGTAAGCTAAACTTGAATGCATGTGTGATAAGAATAGTTGATTGGACATTAAAACTAAAATTTATGATTGAAAGAAATGATAAAGAAAGAGAGGTACATAAATCAACAAATTAAAATGGAACAAATCATCATCAAACATCAATAAAGAAGTCATTATAAAAGAGCAAGAAGTACATGCAGAACAAATGATACATTTCTCGGCTCTTGCTTCTTCTGCAACAATTATTCCATATTGAAGAATATTTTTGACAGATGGCAAATGCCTTTTCATTGTCTGAAACAAAATATTTGAAGAAGTAGGAATTTTTCAATACTGCAAAGTTGCATTCTTATTAGCTTTTAGACTTTCTATACTTTAGCAGCTCTGTCAAAATGCTTATAAATTTCATTTAATTCAGAACTTATATAATTAGGAGAGTCGAACTTCTTTATACGACTAACAGATGTTTTAAATCAGAATATCATGTATTGCTTAAGGGCCTCTTTCTGTAACTAGACGGCATGTAGTTACAGAGAGGCAAGCTAGTGTATTAAACACTAAGCAACAGACTATTTTGCATTTAATTTGCTGGCTTAGTTAAGCAATACGCTTCCCATTCATCTGGTAAACTGAGTTAACAAAGCAAATTTGAAATCAACCCATTTTAAATTTTTGTAAACTGCTCTGGTGATTTTCATAATTTGTGTCATTTCCTTATAGTGGAAATTGAAATGTATTATTTCTTTGTATGCTTTCGTTTCCTAAACATATGTTTTATTCAAAAACTTTCTACGCTGGTAAAACATACTTATATGAATTGTTGTAAGCATGATTCATTATAATGAACAATTTGCCTAATCCATTGCAACAATATTCAATCATCATCAATTTTCCGAAAGCAAACGTGGAAATACTTTTTGGAGAAGGAAGTTAAATTGTTATATAATTATAGAAATCAATACTTGATTTATACATCCCAAAAAAGTTAAAAACAAACTGATTATATGATTATATTGATGATAAGCCTTTCATAAAAAAAGTAAATGTTTTACTACGAAAGCTTTAAAGAAATTAATAATCATCCATCTTCTAACAAATAGGAAATAAAGATGATATCAAACTCAACAAAAGCGTTTCTTGGGACTCTTATAATCCTGTCTATTAGTGTACAAATAGTAAATGGTAATGACGACATATCAATCTGCAAGAAAAGCTAGAGACACTAAAAGACAAAGTGTGGAGGGAAACTTGCTGATAAAAATGGCAATGACGACAACACAACTGCATGCAAGGAAATAAAACAATATAACAAGGAAATGATGCAAATGCAAACAGAAATGTGACACAGGTATAATCTTTAGATTTGACAAATTTTCATGGTTTCTTGTTCATAGCACTAAAAATAATATGCAACAATAGGTAGAAGTTATGCAGCCAATCTAATTTCAGTTATTAGTAATTGTTCTACAGTGAAAAACTCTTTCCAAAAAACACTTATTCTGGTCTTTCACCAAATATTATGATTCTAAAGTCTATAAAAATTTGCATTTTTTTAATCCCCTCGCATCGTTGTTATTTATAGTTTTTTATTATTTATTTAGATGTTTATCCAAAGCCATATTTGATTATTAAGGGCTTTGATAAAGTATACTCTGTTGATTCTATTACTGGAGATATTCATGTCAGCACTATTAATGGAACCAGTAAGAATAAACTTGACCATGCATCAAGATATAATGACATGGAAATTGATGTAGTTAGAATGTACTTTACTACATTGATGACAAAAACATCAAACGGGAAATTTTGACTTAACTAGAAACGAAATTTTTGCGAAAAATGTTATTGTTCATGATATTACAGTTGACTGGATTGGTCGTCGTATCTTTTACATTGACTCCACGAACATTATCTACCAAACTCATTTGAAAAAGAAAATTACAAGTGTTATAAGGCTTCAACCAGGCTTACAATTTTCCAGCATTGCATTTGACTCAAAACATGGGTAAGGCGATAGTGAAATTTTTTTATTTACTTGTAAGCGTAATCAATGTCAATCTATTGGAGGGTTTTCTTAAGTAAGGTAAGAGTTTTTATTATTAGAGGCGGCATTTTAAATTAATAGAAAAGTTGAATTTTTTAAGTCCGTATTATGGTCTGTTATTTAGAGGTACAAGAATAAAAAAAAATATTTATTTTCGAGGAAAAAGAAACTCGCTTTTACCTAAGGGAGCGAATATTAAGTATTTTTGTGTATAAAGAAACAAACGTCATATATTTAGACAGCTTTTCAATAAAATCAACGAGATTTTGCCAGCAATATTTTATTGCGTGACTATGAAGCATTTAAACCAACTGCAAGGATGAGCTCAGTTCGTGTGATTATTCAGCACACACGCAGCAGAAAATAACATGCAGATCCTGAAATTGCAAAAATCGACAGCGATACTTATGTTAAGCCACCAAAGAGCTTTGACAAAAATGTAACAACGGAGAAAACAATGTTTATAATTGATGAAGTCTTTAAATGAAATAAAAGAGAGAGATAGAAACTACAAGAAAGTATTAAATAAATACTTTACCGATGAAACTTTAGTCAAATACCACACAACATTGGTTTGCCACAACTACAAAACAAAAAGTATTCCAATTTCACTGTGCAACTTGGTGTTCTACATTTATTAAGATTACTGGCTTCGGATGGTTACCTAAGAGCACTTTCTTTGTCAGAAAATGCAATTTGCTTGACGCCTCCATGGTAATCATATGGTTTAATAAGATATAACCTTACACAAAGAGATTTGACTCGTCTCAATCCCTGTGGGCTTGGTAGCTCAACAGTAGAGCGACGGATTATCCTAAAGGTGCGAGTTCAAATCTCGTCCAAGTCACATGTTTATCATGTGTATATTAAAAACGTGTTAGGATTAATATATTATAATGTTACAGTTTAAAAGCAAAAAGCTGTAGAAGAAAAAACTAGAGATCAAGCAAATTCTCGTCTTTAGTTTCGACTTCATGCTAGAAGAGTGACTGCTTCGTTCAAAGCGCTTGTCGCACCAACAGAGATTCACCTTCCAAGTTTGGTCACAAGCATTTCCTATCCAGAGCTGAAGAAATTTTCAGCTGCAGCAACAAGATGGGTTGCCACGAAGAGGTGGCAAGAGACGAATATCGAAAATGGCTAAAACAAACCATGAAAATGTTTCAGTGACAAACAGTGGATTCTGGATTCATTTGACTCATGGATCTCTTGGTGCTTCTCAAGATGGACTTGTTCTTGCCAATGTTGTGGCACTGGGATTTGTGAAATAAAGGTTTGTTATTCATTGCGTCTATGTTTTATGCGGAAAAGGTCAACATAATAATTACATCACCTGTTGATTTTGTTATGATAGTGTCCATTTTGCCATAAAGATGAGACAATTGAAACTTCAACAGATGAAAGGTTGTTTTGCATTTATAAAAGTGATGGCACAAAACAACTTAAAAGAACTCATGCATATTACTATCAAATACATTTGTAAATTATTCTAATTTCGTTTAACTGTTTAATGTATAGCAATTCACTTTCTTAAGTTATTGCTCAGTTGTCATGCACTGGTTTCAGCTAATGTGTTTTGTAGCGTGAACAGAAAAGACTTGTTTGTTGAACGAATCTTGCAAAATAACGAATTTCTAGAAAGTAACAGAGGCAGCAAAGAAATTTGTGTTTAGGAACTCCTTCCAGAGTTAACAGGAAAATGAAACTCAAGACCCCAAAAAATTGAATAAAATGAAATATAATAAAATCAAATGTCTTATAAATATTATTAGTACAATTTTAAGTGTATGCATGCAAAATGTTTCAAAAATAATATTTAGTCATAAGGTAAGACAGAATCACAAATGTTAATTAGTGCACAGCTAACAGTAACTATTTTGTCAATCGTAGTGGGCTCATTTTCTTTAGAATTGACAAAATCAATTGGCTGAGTTGAACTCAGATGTGCATATTTCTTTCTAATGTTTGCAATCACTCTTTCCACATGAATCCTCGCATTAGCAATTTGTCTGGTTTGTTCGACTTCAATGCCACTGAGCTGTTTTTTACCCTTAGTAAAAGCTGGCATCTTGATAGTTGCAGAGTACAAACCAACTGACTCCTGGATATCAAAGCCTTTATCAGCTAAGATTACATCTCCAGGTGTTTTTATCAAGGAGACCACTGTTCTCAGTCAAATGTTTGTCACTGACTCTTCTTCCCTAGCCACTGGAAATAAAGCTTATTGTACCCTGGGGACTGATGGCAATTAAGTACTTAATCATGTTGTGGTGCTTGTAGGATGAGTAAGTTTGTGCCCTTGCAAGAAGATTTAATGCACGATCCAAAAAAATCTCAAAGAAGTCAATGATGGCAACACATTTAGGGCAGTGTTTTCTAAAATCCACGGGCAAGGTCTTTCTTAAAGCTTCCCTATCAGGCCATAAAATAAGAGGGCTTAAATGATTATAAAGAACATCAATTACTTGTAAGAAAATTCTTAATACAGTTCCCTTGTTGATGTTTCCAAATCGATAAGCTAAATCTTCACCAGTTAAATTAAGTCGCAGTTTCATAACTGTTAAAAGCAACTCCCTAAATGGTGACAAAGAGCATTTGGGAGAATGCATAAGGTAGGGGCGTACCAGTTCCAGTGTTGCTGACAAGATCTTCCAACTTGGCAGACCAGTGTAAAAGAGGACTTTTTCGTCATCATTTAAGAAGGATTTCTCATCAATCGTCATGTCACTTATCTTGTTTTTTAACTCAAGATTTTCTTGGGTCAAGCGATTGATCTCGATCTTCATTGCAGTTATTTTATCCAAACTCAGTTCCGTTTGTGAATATTTGTTGTTTGATTCTGATTCTGACAATGAAGCAGATGTGGCTCCGTGTTCTTCGTCTACAAGATGGGTTGTCAAGGTCGATTGAGTCACTGCTGACAGTACTGTTTCAATGGATTCACTTCTTTTTCGTTTTTCATTTCTTTCCGAAATACGAGCATAGCGATCGACATCAACTTTTTCGACATATGTATGTCCAAGGTTTTGAGATGGAGCCCAGTCTGGATTAGTTTGGTCCGTTAAAGCTGATGGTTTTCCTGTTATTGTAAACAAAACAACAAATGGTATAAAATGACACAAACGAACACAACAAAGCTTTTTTTTAACTCAATGGCTTACCAGTAACAAAATGAAGGCTACACACTCGTAAATACGTGCATTTAGAATCATCAATGTCTGACGAATTCTTCGAAGCCACATAGAACGACGTTCCTTTGTAAATCTTGCAATATTTTGCTCGCATTGGTTTTCACAGCTGGTATGCGATAAAACTTAATTCTTTATCCCTATCAGCACGCTTCAAACAGCCATAAATTGCGCTAAAGTTAACCATCCTTAACAATATTGCTTTGTTATTTACATGTGGCGTTTGCTTGTCCTCCAGATGTAACGTCACCAGGATTGTGACGTCACATGCAATAGGTCTATTTTGCATTTAATTTTGCTGGCTTAGTTAAGCAATACGTTTTTCCCATTCATCTGGTAAACTGAGTTAACAAAAGCATATTTGAAATCAACCCATTTTAAATTTTTTGAAAAGTGCTCTTGGTGAATTTCATATATTTTGTCATTTCCTTATAGTGGTCATTGAAATGTATTATTTCTTTCTATGATTTCGTTTTCTTGAAACCTTATATCTATTTATTCAAAAAACTTTCTATGGTGGTAAAACCTACTTATATAAATTGTTGTAAGCATGAGTCGTTATAATGAAAAATTTGCCTAATCTATTGCAACAATATTCAATCATCATCAATTTTCTGAAGGCAAACGTGGAAATACTTTTTGGAGAAGCAAGTTAAAATGTTACATAATTACAGAGATCAATACTTGATTTATACATCCCCCAAAAAGTTAAAAACAAAGTGATTATATGATTATATTGATGTTAAGCCTTTCATAAAAAAAGTAAATATTTTACTACAAAACCTTTAATGAAATTAATAATCGTCTATCTTCTAACAAATAGAAAATAAAGATGATATCAAGCTCAACAAAAGCGTTTCTTGGTACTCTTACAATCCTGTCTATTAGTGTACAAATAGTAAATGGTAATGACGACATATCAATCTGCAAGAAAAGCTTAGAGACACTAAAAGACAACGTGAAAGAGTGGAGGGAAACATGCGTGGATAAAAATGGCAATGACGATAACACAACTGCATGCAAGGAAATAAAACAGTATAACAAGGAAATGATGCAAATGCAAACAGAAATGTGTTTTTACACAGGTATAATCTTTACATTTGACAAACTTTTATGGTTTCTTGTACATAGCACTAAAAATAATATGCAATAATAATAGGTAGAGGTTATGCAGCCAATCTAATTTCAGTTATTAGTAATTGTTCTACAGTGAAAAACTCTTTCCAAAAAACACTTATTCTGGTCTTTCACCAAATATTATGATTCTAAAGTCTATAAAAATTTGCATTTTTTTAATCCACTCGCATTGTTTTTATTTATAGTTTTTTTATAATTTATTTAGATGTTTATCCAAAGCCATATTTGATTATTATGAGCTTTGATAAAGTATACTCTGTTGATCTTATTACTGGAGATATTCATGTCAGCACTATTAATGGATCCAGTAATAATAAATTTGACCATACATCAAGATATAATGACATGGAAATTGATGTAGTTGAGAATGTACTTTACTACATTGATGACAAAGACATCAAACGGGGAAATTTTGACTTAACTAGAAACGAAATTTTTGCGACAAATGTTATTGTTCATGATATTACAGTTGACTGGATTGGTCGTCGTATCTTTTACATTGACTCCACGAACATTATCTACCAGATGTGTTTGAAAAAGAAAATTACAAGTGTTATGAGGCTTGAACCAGGCTTACGATTTTCCAGTATTGCATTTGACTCAAAACATGGGTAAGGCGATATTGAAATTCCTTTTATTGACTTGTAAACGTAAAATTAAGAAACTATGTCAATCTATTGGAAACTTTTAAGTAAGCTAAGAGTTTTATTATTAGAGACGGCATTTTAATTTAATAGAAAAGTTGAATTTTGAAGTCCGTATTGCCTGTTATTTGAAAGTACAAGAATAGAAAAATATTGATTTTCGAGGGAAAACAAAACTCGCTTTTACCCGAGGGAGCGAATATTAAGTATTTTTTTGTGTATAAAGAAACAAACATCATATATTTAGAAAGCTTTTCAATAAAATCAACGAGATTTGGCCAGCAATATTTTATTGCGTGACTATGAGGCATTTGAAAACAACTGCAAGGATGAGCTCAGTTCGTGTGATTATTTAGCACACACGCAGCAGAAAATAACATGCAGATCCAGAAATTGCAAAAATCGACAGCGATACTTATGTTAAGCAACCAAAGAGCTTTGACAAAATGTAACAACGGAGAAAACAATGTTTATAATTGATGAAGTCGTTAAATGAAATAAAACAGAGAGATACAATAAAGTATTAAATAAATACTTTACCGATAAAATTTTAGTCAAATACTCACACAACATTGTTTTGCCTTATCCTACAGACAAAAGTAGTCCAATTTCACTGTGCAACTTGGTGTTCTACATTTATTAAGATTACTGGCTTCGGCTGGCCACCTAAGAGCGCTTTTCTTTGTCAGAAAATGCAATTTGCTTGACGCCTCCATGGCAATCATATGCTTAATAAGATATGCCCTACACAAAGAATTCAACAGATTAGAGCATTGTTTGTTGCTTTGCTTTGCCCTTTCATATACTATAACCCTTTTGAGACAGTGTAAGAGATTTTCAACAATCTCAATACGAAATAGCAATAAAGTTTTAAAAATTCACGAAGCTGGTGAACGTCAAAACTTCAATCTTTCGTTTTATTGAAGATAAAAAACTGCGCACATTCCACGTAGTTACATCAAAAATATAAAAAAGAATTTTAGTTTTCAAAAAATGTGGCAATTTAGAAAAAAATCAGTATATCAAGTTTAGAGTTTTTCAAGCCTTCTTTTAACTTGCATTGAATGGCGGAGTATATTGAAAAGTCAATAGCTGCAAATTAACTGTATGCACACTACTCTTCAATAAATCCAATCACACATCCAATCAAATCAACGGAATGGAAAATCATTCCACTACCTTAGTTCATGCAGTGTTTTAGTGTAATTTAAGCAAACGTTACATCTTTAGTTGCTCAACTGATGATGAATCTGAAGATAATAATCATGTTAGAGATTAAAAGAAATTGGCTGAAAAGCGTGTGAAGTGAAAACTTTCTGAATATGTTATGAGTAATTTACGATTTAAAATGTCCTTTTCTAACGATTCCCTATGAACTCTTCATTCATGAGAGCCTTCTAATCAATCAATACAAGTCTTCACTCATCGTTCAAGAAAGTTCCATTGCACTTAACCTCTCTTAGCTTAAGTATATTTTACTTCCCAACTTCTTTATCAAATATTCCATTTGACACCGCATCTTAAGTCGTAATTTAGCACCTTTTGTAAATACAATATCTTGTCTCAACATCTCATTATAAATTATAATTTGACTGAATATGTCTTGAGTAAGGACGAACGTCGGTATAAATTCCATTTTACAACTTTTGGTCTAAGTCTATGGCTCTAATTAAAACTTTATGTTGGGCATTAATTTTTATCATATTACAAGAAAAAAATAATTTTCACGAACACAAAAATCAATATATGCGAGAAAGATTTTATAGACTTCAAAGTGAAATAAACGAAAAGAAGACATGGACTTTACTAAATAAACGACAAGAAGACATGGACTAATCCGCTCCAAAGATTTTACGTAAGAACCAGATAACAAATACGGCTAACCTGACGTTTACTCCTCATTTGACTCTGAAGATGACTACCGCTAAGGTTGTCGAAACGTCAGTCAACAACAACAAAAACAGTCCTTCTAGACTTTATTAACCTGGACGATCATCATATACAAACATATAACGATACTCCGGGTTCAAACCATTTACTTTATTACGATCATTTGGACGATAGCGAACAACTTGCTAACGACTACATACGTTTGCAAGCAATGTCAGACGCATACGCCAACAACTCTGGTTCAACCACCCTGCAAGGATTTTACGTAAGAACAAGATAACAAATACGGCTAACTGACGTTTACTCATTTGACTCTAAAGATGACTACCGTAAGGTTGTCGAAACGTCAGTCAACAAAACAAAAACAGTCCTTCAGGACTTTATCAACCTGACGATCATCATTTACAAACATATAACGATACTCCCGGGTTCAAAACATTTATGGACTTTACTGTTACTCAAATGAGTAATATATTTAAGAAATGCATAATGCAAATATGCTGAAAAGATAATCAAAGTGCCAGTTGCATCAAACATTTTCAATGAAGTAAAGGCCATAGAGTGCAAGCAGTTTTGCAGCTTGTCTAATCGAGAGATTCTTAAAAACATGAACAAGACATGGCGATAGAATAATCATTTTCAAATGATACCAATAGTGCTTAGCTCCAGTGTCAATCTTTTTCTGACTTTCTGAAAACAACGAAAAGTTGACAATTAAAAGAGAAGGTTAAGATAGTTGTAAAAAATCGTTCGTCCAAACAAACTAAAAAAAATTATCAACAAAAGACAATGTTTGTGAAGCTATAGCTCTTTTAAAGGAATTTGTAGACGATGATCAATCCAAGGAGCTGCTACTTTCATGCAAGATGAAACTGAAAATTAAGAAAGCTTAAACTTGAAATGACAAAGCTTTCTCAATTTTATATCTACATTAAATGGTGCATATCAATTACCAACACGAAATTTGCAATTCGAACAAAATTTCCACGCATCAGCTAGTTTTCAGCATTATCAATTACCAATACAATTCATTCAGCAGCCACTACAAACTACAGCATTACTCATTCCGACAATAATCCCAAACAATACCAATTATTATAGAAGTTATGTGAATAAAAATAACATAGTACATTTATTATGCTCTGAATCACATACAATGTTTAATTACTTCATATATTTTAGTTCGGTTTTTAAAAAAGAGATTTTAAATGATAAATATGATCTTTTCCTGTTAGTTACAATAGCTTTATGTTGCTATATTATCAAATTTCATGAATATGTTCCATTAAACCGTCTATATATGAAGGTAGTTCTGAATACTTTAACAACATCTTTGTCTAAATTAAAAAAAATTTCTTTCCTATCTTGCATATATTAGCCTGTTTATTGTTTATGTATTTCAATACATATAGAGAAAACTAATGTACAAAACAAATATTTTTTTAAGGTATCTATTCTTGGGAGAAAGTACAGAACTTTTCTTATGGTTATGGAGCATGACTGCAAATAAACATGATATTTTTTCAGTTTCACTTCAGTCAATAGCACATGATTTAACGCTTGACATGGCTAAAGAGAAGATTTATTGGCGAGTTTCAAACGGAAAT